GATTATCTTCTAAATGTAAACCCTTAAAACTGAAGTTATCAGCTCCCTGATCTTATTTTGAAAATAGTTACAATACAGCCATGTTCACTTAATTATGAAAACAAAAGCTGCACAGGCTGCTCATAGATATGCATCATCTGCCCAGGGGTGCTGCGTTGGGCAGGTGTGTGTGGTCATCACTCCTCTGTGACAGTTTCCACTGCTGTTGAAGCCCTATGGGGGCTGACTCTGCCTGCCCCATTTTAAAGCCCCAAGAGCTCCCAAAATGTGTATGTGTGTGTGTGTGTGTATGTGCGTGTATGCGTCTGGGGGGGGGGGTGTGTGTGTGTATGCGTCTGTGTGTGTGTGTATGTATGTGTGTGTATGCGTCTGGGTGTGTGTGTATGTGTGTGTATGCGTCTGTGTGTGTATGTGTGTGTGCATGTGTATGTATGTGTGAGTGTGTGCATATGTCTGTGCGTGTGTGTGTGTATGTGAGTGTGTGTGCACATGCATGTATGCGTGTGTGTGCATTTGTGTGTGTGAGTGTGTGCATGTATGTGTGTGTATGTGTGTGTGCGTGTGTGTATGTGCGTGTGTGTATGTGTGTGCACATGTGCAGTATTTGTGTGCACGTGTGTATGTGTGTATGTGTGTGTATGTGTGCGTGTGCTTGTGTATGTGCATGTCTGCGCATGTGTATGTGCATGTGTGGGTGTGTGTGTGTGTGTGTGCGCGTGTGTATGTGTATGTGAGTGTGTGTATGTGTGTGTGTGTACATGTGTGTGTGCATGGTATGCGTGTATGTATGTGCTTGTGTGTGTGCATGTGAGAGTGTGTGTATGTGTGAGTGTATGTGCATGTGTGTGTGTGGGCATGTGTGCATGATGTGCGTGTGTGCGTGGTGTGCATGTGTATGTCCGTGTGTGTGCATGTGTGTGTATGTGCGTGTGTATATGCATATGTGCATGTGCGCTGTATGTGCATGCATGTGTGTGTGCGTGTGTGCATGTGTGTGTGCATGTGTGTGCATGTGTATGTATATGTGTGTGTGCGTGTGTGCATGTGTATGCGTGTGTATGTATGTGTGTGTGTATGTGTGGGTGCATGTGTGTGTATAAGAGTGTGTGTGCGTGTGTGTGTGTATAAGAGTGTGTGTGTATGTGTGTGTGGGGGGGGGAGCATGGGGACCTACTTTCCCTAGCTATATCTGAGTACCAATTCCCATCTGTAAATGGAGACAACAATGTCAACATTTTAGAGTTATTGTGAGGATTAAGAGATAATATAACAAAGTGCTTAGCACCCTATGTCATACCTAGACCACACATGAATAAATATTTGCTACTGGCTGGGTGCAGTGGCTCACACCCGTTATCCTAGCACTTTGGGAGGCTGAGGCAGAAGGATTGCTTGAGCTCAGGAGTTTGAGACCAGCCTGGGCAACATAGTGAGATCTCCTCTCTGCAAATAATTAACAAATTGGCTGGGCCTGGTGGTGTGTGCCTATGGTCCCAGTTAGTTGGGAGGCTGCACTTGAGCCCAGGCACTGGAGGCTGCAGAGAGCAGTGACCAAACCACTGCACTCCAGCCTGGGTAATAGAGTGAGACCTGGTCTAAAAATAAGTAAATAAACAATAAATGAATAAGTAGTTGCTACCACAAGGAAGACAGACTAAGCACAACTTACTGATTTTTAATTCTTTTGTTCCGTAACTGAAACTCAATCACTGCTAGTTAGAGTATAAAGCAGCATAATCACTTTGGAAAACTATTTGTCAGCGTCTATGAAAGTCAAATATACCTCTGTCCTATGACCCAGCAATTCCACTCCCAAGTATATTCCCAAAAGAAGTGCTGTCCACCAAAGGACATGCACACAAACATTAAAAGCTGTGTTGTTCACAATAGCCCCAAACTGGAAATGACCCAAATGTTTATAAAGTAAAATGGTTAAATTGCAGTGTGTTCATATAAAGAAATATACATAACAATGAAAATGAGAAAATTATTGCAACTCAGAACAACATGGGTGATTTTCACAAGGATAATGTTGAGCAAAAGAAACCAGACATGAAAAAGCTCACACTTGTATGATTCTATTTATAAAAGTCTCAAAAATAAATCAAACTGATCTATAATACTAGGAGTGAGAAGAATGGTGACATTGTGGATTTCTGGGCTGGTGATAATGTTCTATGTCTTCATCTGCCTGATGGTTACATGGATGTGCCACCTTACAAGAATTCATTGAAGTTATGAGTTGCATTTCTTTGTGTATGTATGTGGCATATGGTAGCCTGCATTATTGACCCTAATTCTTTGCTCTCTCTCCACTTTGGACAGAGTATGTTTCCCTGCTTGAAGTTGGGCTTGTCCATTTGACTTGCTTTGGCCAATGGGATATTAGTCGGTATGATGTGAGCAGAGACATGAAATGTGTTCAAGTAGTTTGGTTTTGCCCCCTTGTGTTTCTGCCGTAGTCATAAGAATATACCCCAGAAAGCTGCTGCTTTCTTGGCCTGGTTTCCAGAATAATACATATGGAACAGACTGAGCCAGCCCTTGAAAGGTCAGGCTGAGCCTATTTAAGTTACAGCTAACCATGGTGGCAGTGGTGGGGGTGGGGGGAGGTGTTGTCTCAAGCAACTGAATGTTGCTGTGTTTTGTTATGCAGCATTATTGAGGCAACAACTGACTAATACACTATTCATTTTTAAAATGTACTTGCAGCTCTTATGTTCTATCTTCTTAATAGAAACCTTTTCCAATTTAAAGTTACCAACATCCTTCTACAGCACTTATATGGCCTTATTCATGTAATACAATCAAAGGAACCTCAGTTTCCTTGTCTATAAAATGGGGATAATGCTTACTTCACAATGCTCTTAGGGGAACTTAAGGAGCCAGTACACTTAAAAGCACTTTGTATACTGCAAAACACAATTTTAAAGTGATGAATGAGGCGAGCAGAAAATGAGGTGGGGAAACAAGTGCATGGATCATGCCATCCACCAGGCAAAACTGCTTCCTCTTGACCACGGCTCGTCCTGGTTCAGAGGGTGAGGGCACAAATGTGGGGAGGAGACTAGAAGACAAATATCTGGGCCTGTGGTAGAGCAGTCACCACAAGGTCCAGACTGTCTTGAGAGATGGCAATGATGATTAGGTCTCTAGAAGGCCAGCTTATGCATAGGCAAAGTAGACAATACAGAACTCTAAGAAGGACACCACAACCCTGAAATCTACAACCCCCATTACCTTCTCCAGTGTCTGCAGGGCCCCCGTTAGTGTTTCATTTAAGTGGTTATGGCGCTGTGTGCCTAACTGTCCCCTGTTAATCCTAACTGCCATTCTTATCTATATCCCAGTTTATAAGAGCAGGCCCATCTGTTCACTCGTTTTGGTATTATTTCTATTGTGGGGATAATGAACCTGAGATTCTGAGAGCTTAGTGATTTCTGAAAGGCCCTTAGTTAATGAGCTTTAGAGATGAATTTGCAACAGGTTTTCTGACCAAAACTTAGAGAGGCAAACTCACTGATATGAGCAAGAATTCCATCATTAGATAATGAGTTGCACTCTCAGAAAACAGGTGGCATTGACCCGAGGGGACAGGACCAGTAAGTTTTTGGAACTGGGGGCTAAACCTGATTAAGCCTATCAAACTTAACCTGCATTGCTTGCTTTTAATCACTTACTTCTAGTTAATCTTAAAAACCTATATAGCTAAAAGTCCCATAGCTAACCAATCCACTAGCTTTGTTACAGACTACATATCTGACATATAGCTCACCACTGTAACAGTTGCTTAAAGTTGTTTTTCAGGAACTTGGGGTTAGCTCTTGTCCAGTTAAAGCCAGTTGAGATCACTGACCCTTCAACTGGGTTTGTAGAAATGCCCAAGAGGTGACATGTTGAAGTCAGAAGACCAAAACTCTTTCTGAAGATCATGCAAACACAGCCATTTTCTCAACATGAGTCCTGTGAAGAGCCATGAACCATGACTATGCAAGCACAGACTATTGATTATCTCATTTTCCCCCACTGCCAATCATCTTTTCCCATGCCTTAGACTACCCAGCTTCTTTATCCCATAGATAGCCCTAAACCCTATCTTTGTGGAGGCAGATTTGGGATCTGTTCTTCTGCCTCCTCACTTGGCTACCTCATGAATAAACTTTCTCTTTTGCAAAACTCATTGTTACAGTGATTGGTTTGCTGTGCACAGACAGAATGAGCCTGGTTCAGTATCATTTTGACAGAAGGATAGGATAAAATGGGGATGGAGCATAGGGTAAGCAGTGGATTTTGAAGGGGGTGGGGCATAGGGAAGACAAGGAAGTCAGAAGGAGGAACTGGGTGGAAGAGGAAGAGACTGCAGATGCCTGAGCCCAGCCTACTGAGAGCGTTCATTCTGGGCTGCCCCTCCTGTACCCATAAGAGGAGCTTCCCAAAAATAGCCCTTGGAGAAAAGAAAGGATGCCAGCCATGTCCAGGGACATGACTGCCCTGCCTCTTCCAACAGTCTGGGGATGATACTGTCACCACATTCTGCTATGAGAGCCACCCTTGGGGGCCCTTCCACTGCCCACCTGGTTGGAGGGCCTGAGTAAAATGCCAGGCTTGTTTCCAACAACTCTGGTCTTCTCTTTCCTTCCTCTGCCCACTCTCCACCCTGCCAACCCCTGAGACTGGCCAGCTGCCTGGCCTAAGACTGGTTCCTCTAACCAGCACAGTCCTCACCATCAACATGGTGACAGTGGCCACAGAAAAGAAGATCCTTGAATAAAGTTGTACCTAAGCAAACATACACATGGAAACAAAAAGCAGCAACCTTCAAGGCAGGGTTTTGGGGTGGGGTTTGCAGCAATTTTTACATGGGTGGGGTAGAGACTTTTTATTGCCAAGGTGAGCCATCCCTGGTCCCTCCCTGGACACAGCTGCTGTGTGGCTCTGCCCTGAAGCAAGCTCTGCCCCCATTCTCCAGTCCCCAGTTGATTCTGTGGCTGCAACCCTACCTCTGTGGTCTGAAGGCCATTCTGTTTCTGGGTCAGAGGGCCTGAGCTGAGGCTCTGGGGATTTGGGCACTGGGTCTCACAGTTCGTCTTCTTCTCTGGATTGGGTATTCCACCTGGGACTGTAGATCGGGGCACACCATTGGAGGACAGTCCATCTTCCAGCACGCCTGGGGGAGGTAAGCAGAGGATGGAACCAGAAGCTTGCACATGGCAGATGTTGCAAACAATCCCAAAATGGAGGAGAAAAAGATAGTCAAAATGAAAAAACAAAAGTTGGCAGAAATCCCACCATGCAGAGCTACGCTTTTCTATAACAACACGTACGCTTTTCACAAAAAGGAGATTTTAAAACAATTCTGTAACCTGAAATTTTTACTTAATGATACCTTGATGACTTTTTTCTATACCATTAAATAGTCTGCCATATTATTTTTCACATGTCTATGTCATCATTTATTTACCTAATCCCCTCTGCTTGGATATTTGTTTCCACATTTTCGTAATAAATCTTACCGTGATGAAACGCCTTGTGGTTAAAGCTTTATTTTAAATTACTTCCTTGGGATAAATTCCTAGAAGTGGGATTACTGGCTTGAAGGTTATATATTTGTTCTGTTTTGTTTTTTTAGAGAGAGGGTCTCACTCTGTTGTCTAGGCTGGAGTATAGTGGCATGATCATCACTTGCTCCAGTCTCAAACTCTTGGGCTCAAGCGATCCTCTCACCTCAGCTTTCCAAATAACTGGGACTAAAGGCATGTGTCACCATACCCAGCTAATTTTTGTATATTTTTTGTAGAGACAGGGTCTCACTATGTTGCCCAGGCTGGTCTTGAACTCCTAGCCTTGAGCAATCCTCCCATCTTGGTCTTCTAAAGTGCTGAAATTACAGGCATAAGACAACATGCTTGGCCAATACATACATTTTTTAAATAGCTCCATCTCAAAGTGTTGGACTGAGTATGTGTGCCTTTTACAACAAATGCCAAGAAATGATAGAAAGAAGTTTAAATAAATAGCCTCACTGAAAAGGAAGAGGACTACACTGAGGAATTAACAAAGGATGAAAATAATCTTATTGGAAAGAGAAAAGGTGGCCCAGGAAGCATGACAAGGAATGCCAAGTATGATGCCAGAAGCTGACAGAGTCTCTGCTGTAGTTACAGGGAGGCAAGGAGCAGCCAGGTAGCCCAGGCTTTCTACTCCTCCACCTGCTGAGGCCAGTCAGCAACAATAGAGGAGTCTGTGAGGGGCAAGGACTAGAGAGAAGGGCAGTGCTCTCAGGAGCTGGAGACACCTGACAGAAACAAAAACCCTGGTTAAGAAGACTGGTATTTTGAAAATAGTGCCAAGAGTTAGGCCAATAGTAGTTCCCATCCTTGCTCTCCAAATGGGTCTCTCAAATAGATGCAGATGACATTCTAGCAGGAAACTTCAGTTACAAAAATCATACAAAAACAAGAATGAGCAAACATTTGAGGAAGGGCAACACCATAAAAAAGAGACAGCTAACTCTGCAATGGAGATCCCCAAAAGAAATGGAGTTAATATGGTATTCAGAAAAGAATTTTCAATAAGTGTAGTCAATCTGCTCAGATAAATGAAGACAATATAACCACAAAATGAGGATAAGAGTCACCCAAAAAGTTTCAGAGATATTTGAAATAATAATCTTAAATGTTGAAAGAAAAAATCCTCAATAGAGAAGCTGAACAACACGATAGACAGAAAGAGCAGTTTAGTGAGCTGAAAGGGCAGGCCAAGGAATCCTCTGTGGTAGCACAGAGGGCTGAATGTTATTAGGAAATGCAGGATAGAAATCTAGTAAATTAAACCTTGATCTAATAAGAGTTTTAGATGAGAGGCTAGAGAAGATTGAGGGGAAGCGATATCCACAGAAATGATAGATAAAGACTTCTTAGAACCAAAGAAAGATGTGAAACCTCAATTTGAAGTAGGCTACCAAATACTTGGCAAGATAAGTAAAAAGAGAAGCCCAACCTAAGACAGACCTTAGTGAAGTTTCAGAACATCAATTATATCAAGAACGGCTTCAGAAGAGGAAAAAATAAAACTCAAGAGTGATACTGACATCAACTTTTCATTCACCTTATGAAGACATCGTTTCATAAGAAGACTATGAAATGATGTTTTCAAGATTTCAAAGGATATACACATTTTTAAGTCTTTTGCAATATATTTTCAAATTTACCTCTACAAGTCTTTCTTCTGTTGACCATCTGTCAATAGTATATAAGACAGCAATATTCCCTAAATCCTGACAAATACTGAATATTTTCTTTTCTGGTTTTCATCTTTGTCAATTTAAGAGGTAAAATAAAGTATCTCATTGCTTGAATTAATGCTTCTTGATTTACTAAAGATGTTATATTATTTATATGCCTAATGACTAATTGTGTAGGTTTTTATTTTAATTGTAAAGTCATTTGTTTCTCTTTCCTTTGGAGTATTTGCCTGGGCTTGCTTTTAATCAAACGTAAAGAAAAACAAACAAAATGCTTTCCCTGGGTGTTGAGAAATTATTTGCCATGGGGCAGGCATCAGAAGCACAGTGTATTTTTGTATATCAAGGGCGGGAGGGTGTTGACTGGCAGAGCTGCTAAGACTGCAGTTCCCACACAGTGAGATGGCAGTGTCCACAGGACACCTATCCGTGTGTCACCCACTTGCTCTGCCAAATGCTAATGAGCTTTCAACTGTGACCATGGGACAGAAATCAGAATTCAAAACATTGAAAGTCACAGTGGAAAATATCTGGTCCAGAGCTCTCTCACTGGCAGGCCTCAGCACATTGGGGTGCTGTGATGGATTCAAGGTGAACAGATAAATGGATTCCTGCAGCTGGGCTTGCCCCAAATCCTTATGGCTTCCTTCCTCCACCAGTTACAGCCTGCTGCTGTCTCTTCCCATTCCCACCTGTTCTCCATCCTGTACCTAAAGGGGCTTGAGATGCATGTGTATGAACACCACAGCACACATGCCTCATCTCTGCCCACTCCTCCCTGCAAACAGCCTGGGGCTAGGGCAGTGTACACCTGCAGGAGAGATCAGGAAAACAGGCCCATGAAGACCCTGGAAGCAGGCTTGGTGTGGATTTGGATTTGGTGTGATTCAGACTAGATTCTAGGGTCCCACAACCCACAGAAGAGTCTAGAATAGTGCTACTCAGTGTCCTCCAGGGACCAAACTGTTGTTACTGTCTGCTGTGGGATACATATAAGAACTGAGTGCAAGCATTTACAGTTTTCTATAGCAACTTGATATTGCCAGAACATCCAAAGGCAGACTTGCCTGATTGAACTTACTGGGTGCAAACTAGGTTGAGTGCTTTTAAACTCATGTGGTGAGTCATAAGTGAGGTGAGTTGTGTATTAATCACAAACAGTAGAACCACATATTTGTCTGTGATGGACTGGGGGAATAAAAGCAATGAATTCTGAAGGAGGGCTGAGGCTTTGGTAGATACGTCCCCTTGGCCTCTGGATAACCCACCCTGTGGGAAGGGTGGGGCTGATGGGCTGAAAGGGGCAAGGGGTGTCTGAAGCACAAGACCAAGGTAGAGACTCCATTTCCTAAGCCTAGGGTAGGACTGCCTTCAACCCTTAGGGCTACTGAGTGGGAGTCAAGGCTGGCCAGGGCTCCCTTTGCTTGCTGTTTCCCCCAGTGTGCCATACAGATGTTGCCTTGTTTTTTTGAGATGGAGTCTTGCTCTGTCACCCAGGGTGGAGTGCAGTGGCATGATCTTAGCTCACTGCAGCCTCTGCCTCCTGGGTCCAAGCAACTGAACTGCCTCAGCCTCCTGAGTAGCTGGGACTACAGGCACGTGCTACCACACCCAGCTAATTTTTGTGTTTTAAGTGGAGATGGAGTCTTACCATGTTGGCTAGCCTGGTCTCAAACTCCCGGCCTCAAGTGATCCACCCGCCTTGGCCTCCCAAAGTGCTGGGATTACAGGTGTGAGCCCCCACACCCAACCTCCAGATGTTGCCATTTTCTATGTGCATCATGACTTGGTACCCAGGTCAAAGGTGAGTGAGAGGCCCCTAAGGAGCCATCCTCTGAATGCACCATGATGCTGCCAGCCTGGATGGGGATGGCCACTCCCTTGTCATACCTGAGACACTTCAAGGGGCACACCTGACCCCAATCCTCCCCATGCCTATGGCCAGGTCCCTCTGGGGGTTGAAGGACATGAAACACAGCTCCCTTCTCCCTTCCCCCAATGCAATCCAGTTGCTGACACCCGAGGAGGGCAGCGGGGAAGCAAGGAGAGGCCTAGCGCACCAGGATCAAGAGCAGGCAGCAGGGAACATATCCCAGGGAGGCGGAAAGGCAACAGCAAGTGGGGCCAAGTATGATTTAGAGCTCCAAGCCCGGGGACACGCCCCCTTGTCCATTGGATTTACTTACAAAACACACATTAAAAGACAAAAGTGTGAAGAATTTCAAGATGGTGCCTGCAGAGAGCATTAGATCCTAAGCACAGGGCCCCTTGTGAGCACAGCAGGCCCTGTGAGGCTGCACTGGATGCACATTCATGAAGCCATCCCTGCCAACCCATAAAACAGACCAAGGCAGAGCTGCCATAACTGAGGTGCCAATGGCCAGTCCTTCTCTCTCAGCAGCTCCTATCCCTGGCATCTTTGCTAAGCCTAAGGGCTGCTAGAAACGCAATTTAAAAATCCATCATTTGGTCTAAAGTTTTCATTTTTCGCCAAACAAAAATTACAACTTCGGTATTTTAACCCCCCAGTCTAGAGACTTCCTCATCTATTAAATGGAGATAATACTGCCACCTTCATGGGGTGATTGTAAAGATTAAGTGAGACCATATCTAAAGGTTCTAACAGTGCCTGCACATATATTGCACTGATTATTGGTAACATAGCCTATCTCCGCCTCTGGCCCCTCTCCATTAGCCACACTGGTTGCATTCCTGACGTATGAGTCACACAACCAGCTAAGTGCTAAGCCACTGGCTTACTGAGTATGATGAAACAGAGAAGCTCTGTGCCAAGCAGGGCCAGCTTGGGGGATTGGCACCTGCCAAACAATGAGCAGGGGTCATCTGCCCAGTGTGGTCAAGAGGACACCCCAAGGGGTGAGGAATATAAGGTCATTTTCTGTGACTTCTATCGGTAACAAACC